CCAGTGGGGATTGCAAAAAGGTGAGTATAATTAAAATAAGCTTGTGGTTGAAGAATAAAGTGTATTTGATGAGTTTATGTAATTTTATTTTGGTGTGTTTTTTTTTTAGTTTATTTGATGAGTTTATGTAATTTTATTTTAGTGTGTTTTTTTTAAGTTTATTTGAAATTTTATCCGAAATTGGTTAAAAATCTTATCCAAAAATAAAACTATTTTTTTTATTTATTTTTTTAAAAAAAATATAAAATATTTTAAATGGGCTGGGTGCCAGTGCATTTTGTAGGGGTGAAGATTGTTTGTGCCATCGCATTTTTAGACCGGGTGCTAGCGCATTTTTTTAGGGGTGGAGATGCTTTGGCCTATTACTGTTCATTGGGGTTTATTACTGTTCACTTGAGTGGGTAAATGCGCTGGATGTAGGCGCAAAGTCTTTAGAGGTGGCACTGCTCTTACATCAGTCACATGTCTCCAGGCCAATGCTATTTTTTCATGGTGTTACCCCATTAATTCTTTTAAAATTTTATTATTGTTGTAAATCAATGGATGCCCACTCAACAAAAGGAATCCACACTCAACGACTATCCACTAAACAAGCAAAGCTATCCTTCCACTAGGAGTGGTTGATACTTGTTTTCATGACCCTTGTTTTTTTATATAAGTACAAGACATATGGAATGAAGAAAAGAATGAACATCAACTCAAGCCACACGGCTGAGAAGAGAGGGATACACAGCAGAGAGAGGAAGGAATGAAGAGGAAGAAAGAAAAGAAAGGAAGGAGAGATGAGAGAATAAACAGAGTTATCTTTGTAATCTTATTACTTCAGATTATCAATGAAAGCATCACTGCTGCCCCGAGGACATACTCCAGTCACACTGACTGTAGAGGAACCTCGTAAATTTTGTGTCTTGTTTTATTTATTCCACTGCACACACCGTCAATTTTACAACAATTATAAATTTATACAACTTTTGAAAAATATTTCATAAAACACTACAAACTCGTAATCACTTGAATTTTTCATCTTATACCATCAAATTACTAACATACCAAAACTATTTTTGTATGTTGTATGTTAAATAATAAACTCAAATTCCTAAAGTACAGTTTTTTTAAGTGTAAATAGGACCTGCAAGTGGCCCTTTACCACAGTAGTGGAAACGTGTTGTGTCCTTGCATGACGGTGTGGGTTCGAACCTCGTCAGTGGCTAATCTAACATTTAATTTACTAACACTATTGTTTCATTCAAAAAAAAAATGTAGATAGGACCTTATTTATATAATATGTAATAATTTAACTCAAATCCGTTTAGTTCGCATAGGCACCTAAGCGCTAGGCCTTAGCCTGCCGCTCGACTAGCCCCTTTTAAAACCTTGTTTTTTAATATAAAATCACTAAACTGAATAGAAGATTATATTGCGCTACTTAGTACTACGGTCTAATGGTATCATCCTCATTTATAAGTGAGATGTCTTATGTTCGATTTGAACCACATTATTGCTAACCCATTATGAAATTTAGCTAATTTCTCACTATTTTAGTGTAGTTAATTTCGTTTATTGAAAAAAAAATTATATTGTAGATTTTAACGAATAAGAAATAAATATAAGGTAAATATTTTTTATTTTTTATTAGAAAGGACCATCGCCCCATTTCGACTAATAAAAGAACTTTTGAATGTGCACGTCACTTTGCCAAGTAATATTATTGGTCGAGACAAAAATCATTGACAAATATTAATGGTTACATCAATAATAAAGCTTTGGGTTTTTAACGTTATGTAACAACGAATCATTAGGCTGTCAAGGTTAATTAGCAAAGTATTTCTCACATTGGATTATAGAAACTCGACAAGTTCTTAATCCATTATTTTTAATGACTTCCGAAATATATTGACTATTAATTTAGAAAACTGTTATGAGCATTTTAAAATTTTCATTCTATCCTCGTTACAACTGTATTTTTCTTTGTAATTATATAAAATTTAGTATTTAAAATGCCAATAACAATTCTTTTAATTTAAAATTACAAATAAAACAAAATTAGACCTTATATCGCAATTAATTACTCATGTGCGTTTATGATGACGTTCTCTATTTACATCTTTAGGGAAATGTGTCAATGGGCGGTTCACCATTAAAACAGGTAAACAACAATTACGAATTTTTTCCTGAAGCGAGCGAACAGCGCCTTCCATATCAAGGAATTTCCATCTCTAGAGCACGAAATGTGATGGTGGGAAAATTCGATGAATTTCAAAAAATCATACCAAATGCTTTCCATATCAAAGTCATGCCTGTGGCCTGTGGCCATAAAAGCCCGCTCCCACTATCGCATTTCTCACCGGTCACAGCCACCAGGCTATCACATCAGTCAGATCCATCACACTCTTCTTTAGGTACCGTTTGGTACGTGGAATGAGACAGAACAGAGTGGGACAAGACGTTCCGTCCCATGTTTAGTGCGCCTAAAACGGATGGAACAACTGTTCCACGGGACGAGTTTTGAGTGAATTTTCGTTTAACCTCACCCCTCTGGAACGACTCGTTCCACATCTGTGGAACACAAAATTATAATCTCTCCGTCTCCTTCTTCTTCCTCCTTGTTTCCATCCGAGGGCATCTTTGCTCCCGTTTCGTTCCGTTCCATTCCGTCCCGTCCCGTCTGCATACCAAACATACCTCAATACCCATTTAATTTTCCAAAAATAGATTATATTCAAAACTCACCAACTGAAAATATTATGGTTATTTGTCTCAAAATCTAAACTTAAAACATAGATTGCCTATGCTCTTATGATTTCCTCGGTCGCTAATTCTTAACTCGTAAAGCTTCAAGTTCTTCTTTATGAGCGATGAGGTTGCATAGTGGTAGTCCATACCATTTCAGCAACCTTTATGACCTTTTTCTTGATGTTGGGGGCTTGAGTTGTAGGGTGGAGTTTGTGGTTTTACTTTGGGTTTGGAGGTGATGGTCTGATGGGAGCGGTTACCGTTAGTTGGTGAAGGCTATGCTTCTATAATCTTCTATTGGTATTGTAGACAAAGTAAATCTAGTTAATTTAACAGATTTTTTAATAGTGCTTGACGGATACGACATTATTAATAGGTTGAATACTTGTTTGAAATATTGAAAATGGTTGAAACCAATTCAGAACAACACTAAAAGGCTGCTGAGTTTTAAGTACTTAAGCCTTAATCTTATGTAAAAATATATCAAGCTTCAAAATTAGTAGTAGCTTTCTACTACCCTCGTACCCAAACAAACCAAAAGGGAAAACACTTGCAAATCTCTACCTCATCCTTATCTCTTCATTTTTGGTTGCTAAAATTAAAGGGGGTGTATTCAATTAGGATTTTAGAGGATTTTAATTCTTTTAATAAATTTAGGGGTATCCAATCATAATTTTAAGTGATTCTCTGAAATTCTAAGTGTATTCAATTAGAATTTTAAGATAGTTTATTAAAATCCTTAGAAATCCAGATGTATTCAATTAGGATTTTAAAGAAGTTTATAACATTCCAGGTGTATTCAATTAGAAATTGATTTTAAAGATTTTGAAAAAGTTGAGGAATTAGAGGGAATTTAAGAGATTTCGTAGTGTATTTTAAGCATCCACAAATTTCACCTCATCTCTTGAGATTTTGAGGGAATTGAATCAAAATTTTATATAGAATATCTACAAATCAATTAAACTCCATTAAAATCCATAAATTTATAAATCCATTAAAATTTCTCACATTCCCCATTGAATACACCTCATAAGTTTTGTAGCGTGGCATTTCCATGTGAGTAAGAAAATTTCCATCTCTAGAAGCAGAAAATGAAGAAAGTGGAAAATTCGATGAATTTAAAAATAATCATACTAAATGCTTTCCATATCAAAGTCATGCCTTTGGCTATAAAGCCCACTCTCACTACCACATTTCTCACACCAGTCAAAATCCATCACACTATCAGAGCAATGTCAAAAATATAGCGCTCTCTCTCTCTCTCTCTCTCTGTAGTCATGGTCAAAAACAGTCTCCTTCTCCTCTACCCCAAATGGCGGGCGTCAGCATTAGCATGCTCCCTTGCGACGGCAATGGCCTTTGCACTGTCATTATTTAGTATGTCACTTGACAAATCATCGATTCGATGTTTAAATTTGCCCGTCATGCAATGAAAAGCTATACCATCTTTCGTTTCATCTTGGTCTTCAATGGCCTCTAAAACTAGCATTTTTCTCAATAAAAACCAAAACCTAAGGCAAAGTAGACCAAGATAGTTGGGAGGGCTTAGAAATAACATGACGGGCTAATTTAATTATGATAGTTTTCGATTATGATAGGAGTTACTTATTTATAATTTGTTTCTATAATTCAACATGTATCGCAACGCTTAATGTAAAGAATTGGATTACAATAGAACTTACTTTTACGTCCAGTGATCCAAATTTAAGCACCAAACAAAGAATTTGGCTTTAAAGTCCAAATCATACTTTTGTAATGCTCTTGTGCTGCATTTTCTAATTTCTTTTATCTAACTTTTTGTGATTCATTTCTTATTCGTCTCGCCTAAATCCCATGAAATTTGAAAGTCCCTCACCAGAACATACTCATTGGTAACGACTAACCCTCTCCTCGTGCAACCCCGGTACCCCATCGCAGTAACGTACTTTTGGAGTTCCATACGAAAAGAAAAAAAAAGTACATCATGAATCATATCTCACTACACTTCACCAAGTTCAGTCTCATATCCATACTCAGAAACAAAATACAGAAGCACATACAGTAGGAGTTTAATGAAAGCAATGGACAATCTGCAATTCAACTTCCCTGATACAAGCACAATTCAGTGCTGTTATTTTGGCAAAATAAGATCCTCTCACTTCCATTCCGTCGACGCCCAAACCCGGCAGAACCCGGCAGAACCCGGCAGCTACAGGTTTCTTATTTCTTTGTCTAAAGGGATTGGGTTAAACAAAACCCCAAACTTGAAGAGTAGGGAACAAAAAACAAGATGAAAACTCTTCGTCAAATTAAAAACATCTGGTAACAACTCACTGTACATGAAGCATTCTCTGCAAAACAACACTGCAAACAGAAGATTTACATATACACATTTCACTTCTAAACGACATGATATGCCCCTAAACGCAACCACTAATTTTCAATCTCTTCTCGTTCTCAAGGCTGCCTCACATCCAAGGGGCTGCACACTTCCTACAACTTGTAATTTGCAGCTCTGCCTGCCTACGAAAAATGTGCTAAGGCTCTTTCGCTACACTACTAGGGTATATCAACACCGAATCCACGCAGACACCGCCTTTAGTGTGAGTGCAATCGATCTGAGTCATCGAGTACTTGATCTTGATCAAATCATGAGGATTGTCAACAACAAAATCTCCCACATGGTAATTGATCCAGCTTCCAGGATTGTCCAAGTAACATTGGGATACAGCACGGTGACCATTAGAAGTTGATAGCTCAAACCTCACTGGTTTTATGTCCCAGCCATGAACATGCTCGGAGTTGCAGACGCGGCGACCTAGCCTCTTCAAGGATCTGCCAAGGTGGAGCCTAAAGAACAGGCCATATTTCCCTAACGGAAATTGAAACTCAAACTCCCCATTGACTTCAAACCACCAGATTTGTTGGAGATAGGCAACTGTCTGGAATCTACACAAATGGAAAAGAGAACACAACATGTCAGATTCTTCCATCATTTCGGAATTTATCGCACAACAAAACTGAGGATTACTGAAACATTACATATCAACTAGATAGCTTGCAAATTTCGGGCAAAGATGACAATTTTGAACCTCTTGCTCGTTCCTGGCTCATCAAATTCGAACAAATATGCAATTTAAAAAAACTCACCTGGATTCATCATTTGCTATGAAATTCCAATACCTCCTATCATCTATCCCAGTAATCGACAACGCCTTTGAAGAAATCGACAAACAAATACCACCCTTGTGCTTATCAAGCCAAATCACCTTCACAAAAAAAAAAAGAAGAAAAAACCCAAATCAAATTCAATTAAATCCATGTAAATTGCAAAAAGCAGCTCTTTAGAGAGAAACAAGACAAAAAGATTAACCTTTGTGCCATCATCAAAGGAATTAGACCTGCAAAGCCTGGCATAGGTATCCCTCTTCCCTGAAATCTTGCTCTTAGTACTTTCATCAAACACCCTGTCTACAATAAACCGATAATTCGGCGGCAACTTGGATTCCCAGATGAAATCGGCCAAGGAAGCACCCCGAAACGCCCGGTTCAACCGGGCCAACTTACAAATCTCCGGCGGGTCCATCTGCATCAAAATCAATGCCACACAGCTCTCCGGTATATCCCCAAGCCTTGGCTGCACTAAACCCTCCCCATCCGAAACGCCACCCGATAAACTAGCACCCATCCCTAAACACAAAATACCCGAAATCCCAAATACGACTTTCTAAACCGAGATACTCAAAACCCAGTATTTGTTTTCGGGTTAATCCTTGAGTTTGAATCTGAATTTGTAAATCTTTTGGGAGAGGTTTAGAGAGAGAAATGTGAAGCAAACGGAATCCAACGCTGAATTCAGATCTAAAGACATGGGCTTTTCAAAAAACCCCAGAAAATTAAAATCTGAAAACACAAAAACGGTTCGATTTCTTTTTTCAATTCCCAAAATCTAATCTACTCTAATCTATAAATCCCAGAAACGAAAAGAAAAGAAAAAAAACATCTGAAGCTGAAAGCTCAAATCTTTGGTGGGCGTTTATGGAGGGATGCACATAAATATCAGTTCCCCCGAACAATCTGTCCTTGGAGTGACAACTACGGTCGGACACGTATTCCGCCGCCGTTTTTGTCTTTGTCGGTGACAGCTTTCTCAGGATTCGCGATTTCGATTTCGATTTCGATTTCTGAGGTCGACGAAGAAACAACCATGGAGCTTATTTTAACAGCGAAGCTACGTACGGGAGTTGGGGTCGCGTTGGAACACGCGCGCTTGTTAGGAAGTTGACGGCGGTTAGTTGGATATTTTGACTCGCTGTCTTGGACGCGTGGCGACATTTGGTTAGGGGAAAAGGGATCAAATCAAAAATCGGGTTTTTTGGCCTAAATAAAATCAGAAAATTTTGGTTAATTAAGAACTGCCTAGTTGCGTTCTCGGATTCTCTTCAAAACTTTTGGAGGATTTAATTATTTTTGTTGCAACTTTTTTGGAAGGCTGTTAATGAAGTTTGTCTGTTGGTCCGACAGTTTGTTCAAATAATTTTTAGGATAAGAATGAATGGATAGTAATCTCTGATCAATTTAGAAATTATTTGGATTCCATTAATAATGAGGATTCAGAATACCACATATTGATCAATCAAAGAAAAAAAAGATCAATTCTTTGAGATCTTTTGTGGAAAATATGAATTATATAAATTGGTAACTTAAAAAGAAATAGGTTTTATCTCATGAAACGTTTATATCTACCGCAAAAACGTTAAACAACCATTTGAAAAAAGAAAACTCCATTTCTGACTACCCCATTTTTGCTAGCAAAGGAAGCCATCGAGTGAGCAGTTCCGTTACAACGTCGAGGAGCATACTTCCAATTGTGTAGGCAGCTTCAAAATATCAAAGCATATGCTTTCAATGGATGTCTCAACCATTTTAAAAACCTTCTTCTATACAAACTACTATGGCCTCGCGCACTACCTCTGCCTCCATGGCTAAAATAAAACTCGCCAACAAGCCACCACGCCCTCCACCCATCCCCTCATGATTCTGGGCCACACAGCCTACTCCACCCTTGCAAGTTGCAGCAAACCAAGCACATCACAGGTCACTTTCAACTGTCTAAAACATTGCTCGGTTTTTTAAAAGCGTTCTCCTTTGTATTTAAATATCAAAGTTCAAATCTCACTTCTCAATATGACTTGAATATAAAAAAAATAAAATGGTTCCGACAATTCTTGTAATTCATTTAAAATGAAAATGGACCGACTGTAAATTATATGAAATAGCTTTTTTGATCTAATCTTATCCATTCAACTAACCTTAAATCCTTAATCATTGTTTGTTTTTTAACTGTGTCCACTATTCTATTCACTAGACCCTCACACTCCACTCACTTTTTCTCTTTATAATTCTGTGTCCACTTCTAAATGCTTGTCATGATACTTTAAATATATTCATAATGCGCTAAAACAACCAAAATTGTGTACGGCCTTAATGAACTCTCCTCCAAATATCACCAAAAAAAAAGACAAGAACATTGCTGCCACGCATGAGATGACAGGTGTAACCAAAATATGTCTCTGAGGAATTGTTCTGAATTATCCACTCACATGTTCCTCTCTTTTTCTTCTTCTTGAAATGCTAGTTAATTTGACAACAGCGATGCTAAGAGTATAAATACCGCATCGAAAAAAAATGATGGATCTTCTTGTAAGTGCTGTGAATTAATTTAATGGTGGAACCTTATCTTTCTTCATGGTTTTAAGCAAGTTGCCTCTCGCATATAGCCTAACGGCCACGCTCTACGCCACCTGATTTGTGTTGTCCACGTGCTAGACTTGAAATTCGTCACACGTGAGAGAGCCTGTTGTAAGTATAAATACCACATCTGTAATGAGGGACTTTATATGTGCTTATAAGTAATGAGGCTACTCATCATATTATCAATTGGTTTTATAGTGGAATCTCAACTTCTTCAAGTAGCCGAATAACATAACGCCAGGGCAAAAATTCTTAGATGCTTCATAATACTGAGCATTTTAAATATTTTAACCGTTAAATCTTAATTTTTATATTACTATTTTTAAATCCAACGGTTACAATATGCAAAGTTGAGATTTTGATGAACCCGATATTAAGTTGTCATTCTCTAATTGTTTGTGACACACCCCAACCGAGATCAGGGCATGCTGGCCGTCACGTGGAGGTGACGTAGCCATGTGCACAGTGCGGAAGCTAAGGGAAATGATATAAAAGTACGAATAATTTAAAAACTAGCATACATAAAGTGATAAGATAAGTGCTAGCGTAAGTGAGTCGCTGAATTCAGAGCCTAAAGCCTACAGCAGTCCAAAAGAAAAGATACAACAATAGTGCACCCGAAGGTGACCCTACACTGGTGAGTGTCTGTCAGATATGCCGAGACGCCCTCTGGGAAAACCACCGAACCCGCTAAGCTACTAGAACCTGGAGGGGCGCAAAACAAAAGCGTGAGTGGGCAAAAATAAAGCTTTTCAAAATCATTTATCAAAGTAAGTTCTAACCCCTCGCCGTAAAACCTGTATACTTCCCAGAAAATAAACAAATATACGTATGTATAAATATGCCAATCATGCTCAAGAATATGCCATATCGGAACCTCCGAATGAAATGCAAGTGCTCAGGTATAAATCACATCAATAGCATAACATCTGGCAGCCGGAGTCCCCTAAGTGACCTGTACGGCTGAATCTAGAGCTCAAATCTCAATCTCAATCATTAAACCTGCCCACGAGTCGGAACCACCTATAGTGGTCTGTACGACAGGCCTGGGTGTAATACATAAAAAAGCTCTAGTGCTACGATCACGTGAAGGCTGTGCGAATAATCGCGGGTCACCTACGAGTCGGAACCACCTATAGTGGTCTGTACGACAGGACTGTGCACCTAACTTGGATCCAAGCTGAGCGTATGGTGCGGGAGGTGAACGACACGTGAAGGACTGTGCCCTACTCTGGGCGGAAGCACTAACACCGGGGGTGCAGGTTATGAGCTCTCTAAGCACCTCTAATCACTATTTGATGCAAAGGTTAAATAACGCTTACCTGGCACTTACCTGCGCCTCCACAGCACCAAATATAAATATGTATATGTATGCCACTACTAATGCATGTGATAGTGCATAAACAATAAGGATATGGTGCATGGCATAAAACAATTAACCCTTTTTAAACAATTTCTGGGAATATAAATGTATATAGGTATATACGGAAAACCAAAAGCCCACTCACTGGTATGTGGAAGGGTCGTAGCCCCCCTGCCTCGAGTGTGCACGCTCGTCCTCGGGATAGGAATCACCTATATGCGAAATAACTATAAAACCGTTAACTTTAAAGCACATAACCTTCCGTTCAAAATAACTTCTCATACATTGCTCAAAATGGACAATTGAATATACCAACGTGCTCTACACAACCTCAGGAACACACCAGAATTTTTAGAAAAATTTTTCACTGCCGTACGCGCCCCCATGCGCCGGCCAAGGCACGGCCACACGCGCAGGCACGTGTGGCGCACACGGACGGCGTCAACTGACGCCGTTAGGAATATTCCGTCAAAGTTGACAAATTCCGTTAACGGCGTCAGGAATATTCCGTCAGAATTGACGGAATATTCCGTCTCCTTCCCCGATCAGTCTCCAACTGGAAAACCTGCAATCGACGTTTTCTCGCTTATTTTTCAACCATTTTTCACATTTCTTGCACCAAAATCAACCTTAGAACTAGTAGAACATGTCCCAACAAGTTTTAAGGCCTAAAACCATAAGATTATACCTGTCCAAAAACTCCATAACCGGCCAACTCGAACCAGGCTATCCCTACGTCCAATCTCGTCCAACGATGTACTCCCAAGCTCCTAGGAACCTCACAAGGACATCTAAGAGCTTCAAAAGTCCAAAAACAAGCTAGAATAAATTTGCATGAATAGTGCTCAAAACGGAGCTTACGAAATCGACGTGAAAACGACTGGTTTCTCACCTGAAAATGGTACGTCTGTGCTCCTTACAGCCTCACGAGTTTGAAAGTGTCCTTGGTTTCTTCGATCTACCAGGTTTTGAGGAGTTTTGGGTGTAGTCCGTACATATATGGTGAAAAGGAAGGGGAAGGGGAGCACGGGAGAGAGAGAGAGAGACAGGGGAAAAGACTGAGAGAGGGATAGGGACAGTGAGGGTGTGTGTGTGATCCCCAAACATGCCAACAAGGCACACAAACAACCAATAACACAAACAAACTAACTAGGGGCAAAATGGTCATTTCACATATACGTTCCGATATTTTCGGGACGGGATATCACAGTTTGTATTTAAACTTAATTATTTCTTTGGTTGTTTTTTATTGAAGCATTCAAAACCTTTAAACATTTCTTAATCCAAAAATAAATCTAGTTTTCAACCTGTAACTGTCATGTTCGACATCAATTCAACCAAATATAAGCTAATGACATTAATTAAAAGGATAACCAAACTTTTGCCTGTCAACTATGCCAATTAACTTCCTAAACAACAAGTGTTATGTTTTATATGATCTACCACTACTTTTCCAGATTAAACAAATAAAAAGCAACACAAAAGGGTTCTTTAAAATGGAACCGGATCCCCTCCTAAGCTTAGGAGGCTGAGCCTCCTCAGCAAATCACACGGGCCGTTGAAATTTGATCCAACAGCTGCAATTATTATAACTTTTAGAGAGGCTTCTTGTTTGTAGCCGTTAGATTAAATTTCAACGGTCTGAATCATTTGCTCAGAGCAACTCCAGCGTTGGAGCCCTCCCCCCAGGCAATGCACTATTCAATCCACCTAATGAACAGTAATAGCCCTGGTAATAGCATTTGCATCTCCACCGTTACACTTCAATAGCCCTGGCAATAGGCAATAAAATATTAGTATTTTTTTTATTTATAAAATAATACAAAATAATTTTAATTGTAATATTGGATAAGATTTTTAATCGTTCTCGTTGCGCCACGTATCATTATCCAAAGTATTATTAAATAATACAAAATAATTTTATTTGTAATTTCGGATAAGATATTTAATCGTTGTCGTTACGCCACTTGTCATAAAATCCGAAAAGACAATTATTGGGGATGGATTTCCGATAAATTTTTTAATCATACTTGTTATGTCACGTGTCATTATCCGAAAATACAATTATTGGTGATGGATTTCTGATAAGAT